TGCTGAGTCTTCAACTAAAATCAACACAAGCTTCTGCATTATGGTACAAAATGTCAGAAGCTACATACACCATAAAAAACACAAAATTATTCCATCTCTCTAGATAAAAAAAGCCTCGATTCCAAAAGCTGAGGTATGGTATGTAATAACAAACTTTCGAGTATGAAATGGCTCTGTATTTTTTTTTTTTTTTGGCAACACCATTCAAGTTAACATATGAATCATTCTCCACGGACCAGATCAGCACAAAACATGGATACCCTTGAAAACGTCAAGACTAGACTGGCTCACAAATAGAGTTATAAAAAGATAACTCATTCAACCTTTCATTACAATCCATGAACCCAATAATTTATGAAAGTGCTCAATCCAACTAAATCCCATCTCAATCATGCAAGTAACACTAACACCTCATGTTGCAGACATGTATTCTCAACAATAAATATAGCAACGCTCTTCTTTTGTCAGAGAGTTTAGTACGCTCTGCATTGAAACCACACATTCAACATGGATTCACCTCATCAATGGTACTGAAAGACAACTCGTACCAAACTATGCGGCAAAACAAACAGCAAATAGGCAAGTATAATGAATAACTTAAGGCGTTCTAGGAGAAGCTTTCTGCAATAAATTTTATTTTTCAGTCATTTGGTCAATTAAGAAAAGGTACTTTGCACTAGAATTTTTCCTTGATTGTGTTATGGCAAATTTTCCTGTCTTCTCCATAAGAAAATTAGTAACCTTTGAACAAGAATGAGAAAAACCCATCTCAAATGGAGTAACTCCCTTTACCCAATACTCTATTGGAACTAAGAAAACCAAACAATTCACCAGAAAAATAACAAGACCATAAAAAACAGTAAAATTCAAAGTCCCAATAAGTTTGAGAGCTTACACCGGTCTTGCCAGGAATCGTGCAATGCCACACCATCAAATTCACCGTCCCATCAGATAAAGTCTCCGGCTTCGCAACAAAACCCTAGAACCCAAAAAACTAAAAAAATCAAAACCCAAAACAAAAGATTTCGCAGTAATTCGGCGAAACAAAGATATGGGTAGATGTACGGACATGAGGGTGGTTCTTCCGCCAGGCCTTCCGCTCCTCGGCAAGACGACCAC